CCAGCATCCACTTACAACTGCGAAGCAAGAAGGGAAAGCAGGTGCCAGCACACTGCTATTCTGTTAAAATCCACCCCTGAGTGTGCAAATCCTCCTGGTGCCCACCTGGAAGCCAACAAAGGAGATCTGCATGGAGAGGATGGTTCCCAAGCAGTAGACTGTGCAATAGGCTACGTAGATCCTGTGGGAGAAGCGCCCGGTCAGCATCAGCACCAGGACGTGCAGGGGGATGAGGTTGATCAGGAAGACGTAGCCACCCCATGAGGAGACCTGTGAGACACAAACCAGACAGACCCACAAGTTCCAGGACTGAACAGATACACAGTGAAACGTGGCAGGTTTTGGTTTTCCTGGGATCACAGGCAGGATTTTCACCCAGTGGCAATGCCAGCTGGGATCTGCTCTAAGGGCATCCTTGACATCCCAGCAGCCAGAAACACAGATTTCTCAACATTATTAATAAAACCTCACATAAAACCCACTAATTTGGGAAATGTAAATGAACAAGGCAAGCACCTGCTCCATTTCCACCTCCATGGAGGTTCCAGCTCCCTGGACTCACAGCCACAGGAATGGCACGCTGTGGATTCCCATCTCCATAAACAGAGGGAGCTCGGAGTCGGGATCACCCCAGCACGGGGAGAGGGGACACTCACCATGTAGAAATAGGCCAGGGCACACATGGCTGCCCAGTAGATGGAGCCAGTTTTGACAGCTTTGATCCACATGTAGTAGGTCAAGAGCATGCAGAATATGGCGATACCTGCGGGAGGACCAGAAGGGTTTAATGTCACCCCTTAGGTACAACAGAGCACTCAATCCATTAAATATATACATATAAATGCTTCTGATGTTCCATCAAGAGGTGGAAGAGCACTTTGTACAAAAAGAAGCCTGGGAGAAGTGTTTCATCTCCAATTTCGAGACTGAAACACTGCAGGGTTTGTGTCTCACTCCAGGTAAGAGCTCACGTGGCTCCTTCCAGCCACACCAGCTGGGAGAACTCCTTACACAGCTCCCAAAAGCCCAGCTACTGGGAAGCAATCTGGATCCTCCTCTGCCCCAGGCACTGACAGTGAGATTCCTGTCTTTGCCAGTCACTCCCAGAATGGAGATAAAACCATGGGGGAACCATGCAGTAGCTCTGGTCCCAGGTGGAGTTTGTGGAGGTGGCAAAACCCTTTCTGATTGGCAAACAAGGATACTGGGAACAGGGAACACCCGCTGCCAGAGTTGGGAAACACTCCCCCTTCTTCCCTGCGTGGGTGAGAAACACCTCAGATCTCTGATCAGTGGGGTTTGTATGGTACAAACCTGGCAGGGCTCCCTGGACCTCTACTGTGCCCTGCAGCACCTTTATCATCACTTTCCATTTCCCAGCAGTCCTTAAGGGTTCCCCAGGGGTCACAAACTCACCTTCGTTGTCGTAGGAGCCGGCGACGGATCGAGAGATGTAGCCGGGCACCACGGCGATCATGGCGGCAGCGAGGAGCCCTGCCCCTGCGTCCTGGGAAAGCAGCCAGGGGGAACAGCGGGGTTTAGGGGCTTTGTTACTCAAAGGAATACAAACTGAGTGTGGAAACAAAGTTTTGAAAAGGTCTCCCGCTCCCCAGGAGGTGGGGGGTTTGAGGAGCACGGTGGTCACCTCCCAGACTCCGGCCCAGCTGCTCCCCTAAAGAGCCAAGAGCCCCTGCTCCTCGCCAAGGCCCGGGCCCGGCAGGGGCACCCCGGGGGTCCCTGTACCTTGAGCTCCTTGGTGAGGTGGTAGGTCACGATGGTGGTGAAGGAGGAGAAGAGGGGGGCCAGGAACACGCAGACATTGCGGATGTCGATGGTGATGTGGAAGAAGTGCAGCACGTGGTAGATCGCTGCCGACGTGATCATCAGACCTGCAGCACGGACACACCTTCCTCAGGGTGCCCCACAGCCTGGCCAGGAGGGAGCTGCTGCCCAGGGAGCATCCCCGAGCTCCCCTCTGTCCCAGTTGGAATTCCGAAATGCGCTCCATGGGCACCCCCCACCCCTCTCCCGATTTTGCCCCGTGCCAGGTGTGTTCTGGCTCGGCAGAAGCTTCACCTGGGTAAATGGTGCCCCCGATGATCCTGCCCAGGGGGTACCACGCTCGGTCATCAAACCAGTTGTGGAATTTGTAGAAGCCCTCCTCGGCCAGGAAGCGGGTGGTGCGGTAGTTGAAGTACCTGCACGGGGGACGAGGCGCTCTGAGGGCTCATCCCGGGGGTCCCACACACAGGGAACCAGCCCAGTTTCCCTCAGCTTGGCTGCAAAGGCGCCTCCCTCCTCCCAGGGGGGTTAAAAGTGGGTTTGCAAAGGTAACAGTCTCCCTTGGGACTGATTTAATCAGTGACAAGCCTGGGACACAGACACAGGCTGTCCCAGGAGCCCTCTCTTCTGCTGCACCCAGGCAGGGAATAACCCCATTCCAGCAGCAAAGCAATGGCAGGCCATTCCTGGATCCAGGCTGCAGGAAGAGCCCTGGGTAACAAGTAAATTTTGGCTGTGGAAAAGGAAAACCAAGCTGCACTGACACCTGCCCTCCAAATCCCACATCCTCCACGCGGATTAGCTGAGCCAGGCACACACTGTTTGAATTCCACCGGCTCCAGGAGGGGAAAAACCCAACAAGCCCCCAGGAACTGAGAACAACTTACGGGTCAAATTCATGGATGACACTTTCAAATCTTAAGACGGAAAAGAGCCTTGTGGAGAAAGCTGCAAACACAGAGAAGGGGCAGAGTGAACACAAAGAGCTCCCTGAGCTTGGCTGTCCCCCTTCTTTGCTGGATGAAAACAATTTTTGTATTAAATTGGTCAACGAGAAGGCAAAGAAAGAGGCAGTTTTCAAAGGAAAAGGCACAGAGGGATTATGGTGTGGTTTAAAGGCAGGTGAGAATTTCACAGCCTGAACGAGAAGAGAAGAAGGAGCAGAGGCAGCTCCAGCCAGGGGTCTCCTCTGAGGGCAGCAGGAGCCCTCCCTGAGGACACACTTACAGAGCACAGCTGCCATGGACAGGATGAGCAGCTTGAGCAGCGTGTCCTGCTTCTCGTAGGAGAGCCGGAGAAACCCCAGCTTGGTCATTTTTCACATCCAAGGCCGAGCCTGAGGATCCTGGAACACCTGGACACGGACAGGAGCGACTCAGACCCCTGAGGGCCTCATGAACTCGGACCTTAACCCCCATTCCTGCCCACCCTTCAGCCCTGCCAGGTGCTTGTGCCTCCCTTCCTCACCTGAGCAGTCACCCCAGCTCTTGGCCGGTTTTCCTCCCCCTCACAGAGCCCAGAACTTCTCAGGGGCAGAGGACGTGCCTGCTTCTGTGTGCACAGAACAAAACCCCCGTGTAAGCTCTGAGCAAAGCCCCTGCCTCCCCCCTGGCTGCTCTCTGGAGTTTAACCATCACCTGCAAGCCATGCACAAAATATAACCCAGGGAGAGTGCAAGAAATTGGTGCTTTTTGTCACATGCAGCAAGTACAAACAGCTCCTGGTTGCTCCCACTTTGAATTATTTGTTAAATACAGAGATGTGGTTTGTTAATGCAGACAAGAAGAGTAAATCATCTTTGCTCACACCAGACGTGGCTGTTTAATTCAACCTCCCTGGGTGGAGCAAAAGCCAGAGAAATCTGGGGGTCAGACACCAAGGAAGTGAAACTGTGACTAGAGAACAGCAGCTTTAACATCTTTCTACCCTTGAAAACATTCAGATTTCTTTAAAATCCTTCTTTAACTCATTCCATGAGGAAAACCCCTCCCGCTGCCCCGGACAGGGGTAGCAACCCCAGTTCAGGGTTTGTGAGCTACACCACCATTAAGACGGGCTGAGATTTAAAAAAAAAAAAATCAAACAGACTGCGCCTGAAGGAAACCTTCCCGTGCCCTGGAAGTGCTTCCCACTGGGCACTGGTGCGGGAATAACCCCGTGCCGCGGATACTTCCCGGACGCCCCGCGGCAATGAAGGAGCTGAGGGTGGCAGGGGCAGACACCGCTGGCTCTGCCCGGGGTGACCGCTCAGCACCAGAGCTCCCGGCACAGAGCACCCCCTCACAGACACCGCCATCCCCACACGCGCGGGGCGCGTCCCACGGCGCCACCCGCCCCAAAAACGAGGGCGCCCCGAGCAGGGCACACCGGAACCCCTCAGCCCCCCAGAGCCGGACACCGCTCATCCCTCAGCCCCGCTCATCCCACAGCCCCGCTCACCCCTCAGCCCCTCAGAGCCGGACACCGCTCACCCCACAGCCTCGCTCACCCCTCAGCCCCTCAGAGCCGGACACCGCTCACCCCTCAGCCCCGCTCATCCCACAGCCCCGCTCACCCCTCAGCACCTCAGAGCCGGACACCGCTCTCCCCACAGCCCCCTCAGAGCCGGACACCGCTCTCCCCACAGCCCCCTCAGAGCCGGACACCGCTCTCCCCACAGCCCCCTCAGAGCCGGACACCGCTCACCCCCCAGAGCCGGACACCGCTCACCCCCAGAGCCGGACACCGCTCACCCCCAGAGCCGCCTCTCCCTCGCTCACCCGCCCGCCCGGCCGGTCCCTCAGCGCGGCCCCTCCGCCCGCTCCATCCGCCCCGCGCAGCCGCCCTACCCTCGCCGCCGCCAGCCCCGCCCGCTCCCCATTGGGCCCCGCACACGCCACTCCAGAACCGCCCGCTCTCATTGGCTGAGGTGCCGCGCACTCAGCCGAGGGGCGGGGCCCGCCGCTCACGGTGCCTTCCAATTGGCAAAGAGCGGGGTGGGCGGAGCCGGCCGGGAGCGAGCTGTGACGTGTCCGTCAGGGCTTGGGAGCGTCACGTGGGCGGAAGCGGAAGCGGGTCGGGCGCGCCACGTGGGCGGTGCCACGTGGGCGGTGCTCGGGGAAGCCCCGGGGGCAGTGACGGAGTGACCCCCCCATCCCCGGGCAGGGGAACCCCCTCCGCCCAGGGGACACCTCCCCGCCCGCATCGAACACAGCGGCAGGCCCGGGACGGCTGAGAACTCGTGGTTTCTCCGTTTTAATGTTTCAGTGTGAAAATACTAGAGAAAAGTTGATAAACCGGCCCAAAATATCCAAAGGGGTGTTTTGAACGTCATCACCGGTTCCTTCCCCGACCCGACAGAAACGGTACATGCACGGGGAGGGGGGGGGGGTTACACACTGTGCTCGACGGCAGCGGGGACTCCCAAAAATACCCGCCCCCCCCTCCCGCGACCTGAGTTTGGGCACATGGAGGGAGCGGGAAGGGGGACGAGGGGCAGCGGGAACACGGGGGGGACACCACGGCAGGACGGGGCGCGGGGGGTCCGCCCCACGGGCCCGGGGGCGGGGACATGGCACGGGAAAGGCGTACAAAAGAGTCGCTATAAAACAAGCGCGGGGCTCGACCCGGCCCCTGCACACTCACAAAGGTGTTAAAAACCCAGATATCCCCCCTGCCTCGAGACGCGGAACCCACAGCCACGCTGGGCACGGAGGGTCCCGTGGGGTCCCCCCTCCCCGGGGGGGGCTCAGTGCCCCGGAACGGCCGCGTGTTTGGCGGGGGAGGGTGAGGAGGAGGAGGAGGAGGAAGGAGAGGAGGAAGCACCACTCAGGGCGGACTGAAGGTAAACGGTCTTGTGAAAGAGTCTGTTGCTGAGGAAAACCACCAAGGAGAAGAGGCGGAGCTGGAAGTGGCTGCAAGGCAAGAGAGTCCGTCAGCTCCCGATGCCGGGAACGCCCCCACGGCGTTTTGGGAGCGGTGTTGGAGGGGTCAGCGGGGCTGGGAGGGGCAAATACTCACTAGGTTTTGCCGGGGGTCCTGGCTTCGTTGGCGCTGATGATGAAGAGAGGGAAAAGGATGGAAAAGAGGCAACCACTGCAAGGGAAAAATAAAATAAAATAAATCCGAGGCACTCGGTGGGTCTGGTGGGTGTCGGAGGAGGAGGGGCCGGAGTTCCTTCCCACCTGATGATGTAGGAGGACTGCATGGCCGTGAGGAACGCCAGTGGTAACCCGAAGCCGAAGTAGTAGGGCCAGTTCCTCTCGATGTTTGACAACCGTTGGTGCATTTCAATTCCTGCCGGGGGAAAAACCCCGTGGGAAGGGACCCACAGGGAGGAGAGACCCTCACTAAAGAACCACAGAACCGACTGGGCTGCAAAAGAGCTCCAAAATCACCAAGTCCAACCTGTGACCAACCCCCACCTTGTCCCCCAGCCTAGAGCACGGAGTGCCACGTCCAGTCATTCCTTGGACACCTCCAGGGATGGAGACTCCACCATCTCTCCTGGCAGCCCCTTCCAATGCCTGACAACCCTTTCCATTAAGAAATTCCTCCTGATGTCCAACCTGACCCTCCCCTGGCACAACCTGAGACCGTTTCCCCTTGTCCTGTCCCTGTCCCCTGGGAGCAGAGCCCAAACCCCCTTGGCTCCCCTCTCCTGTCAGGGAGTTGCAGAGCCAGAAGGTCCCCCCGAGCCTCCTTTTCTCCAGGCTGAGGCCCCCTCAGCTGCTCCTCATCAGATTTGTGCTCCAGCCCCTTCCCCAGCTGTGTTCTCCTCTCTGGACACGCTCAGCCCCTCAGTGTCTCTCCTGCAGTGAGAAAGCAGCACTGAATGTGCCTGAGCAGTGCCCAGCACTGCCCTGGGCCTGTGGCCACACCATGGCTGGGACAGAACGGGTGCCTTTGGCCTTCCTGGCCACCTGAGCACACTGCTGGCTCATGTTTACCCTTCAATCCGTATAAAAACTGATGGAAAATCAGCCCGATGCCAGAATTGGCCACTCCTGGAGCAGAGAAACCCCCAGTCCAGGTGAAGCCCCTCACCTTTGTTGAACCAGCGGTACTCAAAGCAGTAGAGCGAGTAGAGCAGCGACATGTGCAGGAGGCTGATCAGCTGCCCAACCAGGTCGATGGGGAACAGGCTCACGATCATCCCCTGGGAGGGAGAAGGAGCAGGGGACTGAGAGGGACTGGGGGGTTTGGGGGAACCACCACGGGGGGCACTCGGGGTGCAGCACAGCGGTTCCCTGGTGTCTCCCCTCACCTGGATGAGGAAGAGCGCCTGCAGCAGGAGGTTGAAGAGCATGTCTGCGATGATTTTGCTGACGCTGGGGAAGGGGTGAGGCTTCCTGCCCGACACCTCGAACGCCAGGTCCGCGATGTCCTGCCACAGAGGGGGGCTTGAGGAAAGGGGGCTCGAGAGGGGCTTCAGGGAAATTAAACCTGGGAGGATGTTACTGAGCTGCTTTTGCCTGCCCAGAGCCCACGGTGGGGAGGGGGTTTCATCTCGTGCCCCGACACCACCCAGTGAGGAAACTCCCCCCCGTTTGCCCAAGGCAGGGCCCAGGTTCCTGTCACCTACCTGGAACCAGATGGCATTGACAACCTTACTGAGCACAAAGAGGGGCAGGACCCAGAGAGCGCTGAAAATGGAGGTGAGGATGAACTCCAGCCAGGACCAGACATCGCCGTGTAAGGATGGGTCACCTTCGGGAGAGAGGCAGGGAGGACACGTGAGGAACCAGTGGAGGAGCCTCCAAAAGCTCCCTGGCACAGCCTCCAGGGAATTTCTCCTGACTGCAGTGCTTTAAATGTCTCTAAAAGCACATTTCCACCCACTTGCTTTTTTATTTAAATACAAAAATACACCGACAAATGTGTTTTGAGTAGTAAAACCCCCGGGCTGGATCCCCAACACACACAGGCTGTCAAGTGGGGTGATCCACGGCTGGCTTGTTCTGCTGAACAATTGGGGATGGGATGGGTTGGTACAGGGAGGAACAGCTCAATGGGTGTTGGGACCCCCAGAACTCATCAACATGGGTTGCTCAGCACCCCAAAATACCCGGGGGAAAGGCACCCACCAATGATCTGCGCCGTGACTGACTGAAGGACGGGGATGAACACTCGGTAGAACAAGAAGAGACTCAGCTGCAGGGAGAAACAAACAACAAGGGTTCTCAGTGGGGCTCTGCAGGGTCATTTCTGTGCTCCTGTGGCCAGGAATCCGAAGGCAGATGTGCCTCTCCTCCCCCAGTGATCCATAAACACAGAGGAACAAGGATCTCTGCTTAAATACAGCCACAATCTACGGCTGAGCACTTGAGCATCCCTTGTACTCTGCCCCAGTGTAATGGGAAAACAAAGCTGGTGATTTATGAGACAGTCTCCATTAGGATCAGCCTCATGACACAGCCACGGGAAGGTCAAAGCCAAGGAAATGTCTTTAGGACATCAATATCCAACTGGCAAAGCAGTATCCCAGGCTGCAGCAGAGCAGGATGTTTTGGTGGAGAGCGGGAAAAGCAGCTCATGGGTTCATGTGTGGGTCTCCTGAGCAAGCCTGTGGTCCTATATCCCAGAGTGAATCCCTTAAAATACAGCATTGGGATGGGAACACCCAGCAATTCCTGCAGCCACGCCAACAGCCCTCACCCCTCTCAGCACGAGGGCTGGAGCAGAACATGGGTTTTCACAGGGGTTTTAAAACAAAATACATGAAAAATAAAAAGTCTCCACGTACCCAGAAGACACCTCCGTTCCAGGCACAACACTGAAATATCCGGCTCACTATCCGGGGTTCACTGCAGGAGAGAGACCTGTTAATGTCCCAGCACCTGGACAAAGCTGCCCCACACCTGGGACACCTTGGAAGTGTCTCCAAGAGCCAGCTCCACCACAGTGCTGCACCTGATTTTATCCAAATGAGAATCCTGGAAGGAATCCCCACACAGACTCACACCAGGTCTCTACAAGATTTACAGCAGGGAGACTTTCAGCCTTTATTAACTCCCACAATCTGCACTGAAATGGAAGAAAAGCAAAGCTTTCTTCCAGATTTTTAAGCATATATTGGAGATCTCAGGCATCATTCTCCTTAAACTCTTGCCACAATAAAATTAGAGAGTTTGGGGTGTTCTTTGGTCTCAGCAGAGACTGTTTCAGCTCAGGGTGCTTTTGGTGTGGCTATTTGGACATGCAAGAGCAGCTCTGTGGGACTCTGCAGCACTTCCCCAGTCAGCTCCTGCTACCAAAGGGACTTTGTTACAATGAAAACCAGCAAAATTCAGCTGTTCAGTGCCTCTAAAATTTATATTATTCCTCAGGGGCAGCCCATGTGTGAAACCTTAAGGAGGACTGAGATCAAGGGAGAGTCTTCTTTGCCCTTTCAGCCAGCCTACCACCCAGCTGGGCTGAAAAATTGGGAAGTGTCTCAGACATTCCCCAAAACACCGGGTGAGGTGCCAGCCCAGTGTAATCAGGGCAGCAGAGACACATCCCAGAGCAGTTTGGGAGTCAGACATGGGAACAGATGGTCTTTGCTCCCACGTGGAGATAATTCTGGCATTTCCAGAGCCACTGAGATTCTGCAGCTCCACACGCCGCAGGCCTGGGGAAAAGAGATGGATCTGAGCTGCAGCTTCTTCCCTGATCCTATGACTACCAGAAAAAACAACGGGTCTGCAGCGGCACGAGGATTCAGGAGGAAAAGAAACCCGCAAATCCACGTTCTTTCAGTGTGCACAGCTCCACACCTTCCAGTGGCAATTCAAACTAATTATCAAACAACATAAAAGGCCCGACTTCTTATCTCACAGCTCCAGCTCCATTACCCAGTGGAAAAAGGGAGTTTCACGCCACGTTCTTCCCATTTATTGGCTCTGGCTACCCGAGGGGAAGGGAATGACCCCATTTCTGACTCGCTGGGCCCTGCACTCACTTCTCTTGCTTCTTCTCTTCCATGTGAAACCTCCGCTGGGCCAGCGCGCTGTTGGCTCTCCTGCGCCTCTGCTCTTCCCTTTTCTGCTGGATCCGGGCGTCCAGCTTGGAGATGGTGCAGATGCCCCAGATGGAGTCCTTAATTCCCTGCAGCACAAGGAGAGAGGAGGAATAGGATGTGCCATCAGAGCCCTCCTGGTTCCACGGCTGGCCCAGCTCCCTGGGTGAGCAGCACCCGGCTCAGCCAGAGCCAAGGCCTGGAGCAGCAACACCACCTCCTTTCCATGGCCTGGTGACCTAAATCACTGCTCATTCCAGCATCTCCAGGAGCAGCAGTGATTTCTCTGTAAAGGTGTGATTTCTCTTCCAATCTGCACTATTTATAACCCTGGCAAAAGTGAAAGAGTCGGATCTCTCCCAGCCCTGTCTGGCAGGAGGACCCTCATCCCCTGCCAGCACTTAGAGGCCAATAAAGTGGAATTACACAAATATTTGGGATGTGCAAAGTCTGACTGTACATACGGGTTTGATGCTCATTCCTTCACAAATAAAAGCATCTGTCCTCATCAGAAACATCCTCCCACCAGCCACATCAGTGCCAACCTGTTACCAGGAATGTACCCAGAAGTTTTCCTTCACTCAACGTAGGGAAGATGTTGTGGGAGCACCAGGAAAGGACAGAACTCCTCCCTCCAGAGGTGTCTGATCAAACCCAGCGAGTTTCCCAACACAAGTTACTTCTGGGCGTGAGCTGTTGCTCAGTGCCACAGCACAGTTTTTAAGGCTCTATTTACCCCTGGGTGATGGAAGGTAGGTGGGAGCAGCAAGGTCACACAGCCTTTATTGCTGGGACAGAGCTGCCATGGTCATAGTTATAATATATTATTAACATATAATATCATAGAGATCATATTATATACTATTAATATATATTATATAATTCTAAAATATTATATATATGGCATGATAGTATCAATAATATTACTTTTTGTATATTAAATATAATCAACTGTAATATTAACAGTAATATTAACATAATGTATATATTAACATATATCAATAGAGTATTTATATATTATATATGTAAAGTATCTGATATATGAAATGTATAGTATGTTTTATATATATTTTATACATACTATATGTATGTATCATACATTTTACTTATATATTTTATATGTATATTTTGTACACATTACACATTTTACTTATATTTTATATATTCTATATTTCATATATATGTTTTATATAGTATATATTTTATTTATTTATATTTTAATATATGGATAATATATCTATTATTTATATACTTCATGTATAAACTTTATATGTATTATACAGTTTATATATATTATATATTATGTGTATATATATTTTTATATATTATACATTTTAATAATGAAAATTAGTATGATAACAACAACATATTATACAGTGATTTGTGCCCAAGGGAAACCTGTCAGAGCTTCAGCAGCAACAGACACACCAAAGAACGCTGTTAAAATACACCTGGAGCCCCTTTCCCTTCAAATCCCGGGAAGGAAGGTGCTCCCGCAGGGGCGGGGAGCTCACCCTGACGAGGTCATGAAGGAAGGTTCTCACGCTGTCGGCCATCTCGACTCCAGCATCACCTCTGCTTCCCAAACTATCAGCTACAGGGACAGGGGGAGAGCCGGGCCCAGGCCTCTCTCATCCTGGAGAGACGGGAAACAGGTGGAGCCTGCGGGAGGGGAACACCGCGGGAATCACAGCTCCAATCGCAGCTCCCACAGCACTCCCGGCACTCCCACCCTCCTCCAAGGGGCCCGCGAGCGGCCCCGTCCCGCTCCTTCCGCAGGGTGCGCGGGACAGCCCTTGGAAAGCACCACAGGAACAAAAACAAGGGAATCCAAGGGAAAAACTGGAGCTCTCCCACCAGGACTGACCCTCTCACCGCTCCCCGTGGGAGCTCCCGGCGGCCCCGGAGCCACCAGCCCCGGCACGGCGGGGCACGAACAACTACAGATAGTTATTAAAAAAGGGGGGTATTTTGGTTATTGCGAGTCGAACCCCGGCGGGGCCTGAGCCGCGGGGCCGGGACCGCCCTGCGGGTTTCCCGAGGAGTTACCCCCGGCAGAACCCGCTCCCGCTCGGGGGGGTTCGTGGGCCCCAGAACGGGGGGGGCACATTGTACCCCAGGGCTGCTCCCCGCGTGTGTGTGAGGCGGGAGCTCTCCCGTTCCCTCCGGGATGGTTTCCCCGGGCTGTCCCCGTGTGTGTCCCCCCCGCTCCCCCCGGGCTGTCCCCGTGTGTGTCCCCCCCGCTCCCCCCAGGCTGTCCCCGCGTGTGTTCCCCCCGCACCCACCGGGCTGTCCCCTGTGTGTCCCCCCGCTCCCCCGGGCTGTCCCCGCGTGTCCCCCCTGCTCCCCCGGGCTGTCCCCTGTGTGTCCCCCGCACCCCCGGGCTGTCCCCGTGTGTGTCCCCCCCGCACTCACCGCGCTGTCCCCGCGTGTGTCCCCCCAGTTCCCCCCGGGCTGTCCCCGCGTGTGTCCCCCCCGCACTCACCGGGCTGTCCCCGTGTGTGTCCCCCCCGCTCCCCCGGGCTGTCCCCGTGTGTGTCCCCCCCGCACTCACCGGGCCGGGCCGGGGCGGACGGGCGGGACGGGCCCGGCTCACACGGCCCGGCCGCGCCCACCGCGCATGCGCCGCGCACGGGCACTGCTGCGGCCCCACCCCTCTACCACAGGCCCCGCCCCCAGCACAAGCCCCGCCCCTCTGGCGGTGGACACGCCTCTCTGGCGGCAGCGGCGCCTTCCCCCGCACTGCGCGTGCGCCACTTCCCGCGCACCGCCCCGGTGCCCCCTCCGGCCGTGCTGCGCCTGCGCGCGGCGGCCGCCCCGCCGCCAGGGGGCGCCACGTGCGGGGAGGGAGAGATGGGACCGCTGGGGGGAGAGTGGGAATAGTGCGGGATAATGGGGATAGTGTGGGATAACTGGGAGATAATGGGGATAACTGGGACATACTGGGAAAAACTGGGGATTAATGGGGATAGTGGGAGATCCTGGGGATAAGGGGGAGAACTGGGGGATAATGGGGATAGTGGGGATAGCTGGGAGATACTGGGGATAGCTGTGGGATACTGGGGTTAACTGGGGCTGAGGGATACTGGGAATAGTAGGGGATAATATGGATAGTGGGAGGATAACTGGGGCTGAGTGCTCTGGGGGATACTGGAGACACTGGGTCTGGGAGTATGGGAACACAGCAGGGATACCGGGGGAACGGGGGATACTGGGGACACTGGGGGGATACTGGGGACAATGGGACTGGGATTATGGGAACATAATAGGGACACTGGGGGCATACTGGGGACACTGGGGCTGGGGGTATGGGAACATGGTGGGGACACTGGAGGGAATGTGGACACTGCAGCTGTGGGGGCACACTGGGGACACTGGGACCAGGACACGGGCAGCGCCGGTGGGGGCAGCACGACAGCTCTGCATGCCATTAACTGTTCACCCAGCCCGTTTATTCCTCCAGGACGCTCACCCAGCCGGGTGGGGGTGCCAGGCCGTGCCCCACGTCCCCCTCCCCGCCCGTCAGACCACGCCGCGCTCCCGCAGGGGCTCGCCCTGCTCCAGCCGGGCCCAGCCCAGGCGCCGCAGGTCCAGGCTCTCGAAGCGGCCCCGCACCACCAGCTCGGCCAGGGCCCTGCCCGCGGCGGGCGAGTGCTGCAGGCCGTGCCCGCTGAAGCCCGCGGCCACTAGCAGGTTCTCCAGCCGCGGGTGCGCGCCCAGCACCCCGTTGTGGTCGAAGGTGTTGTAGTCGTAGTAGCCGGCCCAGGCCCCCCGCACCCGGAGGGACTCGAAGGACGGCACCCTCCGCGCCAGCCGGGGCCACATCTGCTCCTGGAAGTAGTCGTGGTCCACAGACAGCTCGCTGGGATCCGGCTCTTCCTCCTGGGAGACGCAGAGCGGGGCGGGTTTAGTTGTAGATACCCCTGGAGGAGGATTTAGAGCCAGGAGGCTGGAGCTTGGTTCGCTCTCCTGCCCAAGGAGAGGCACCTTCCTCAAACATAGTTAGGTGGTTTTCTTAACTCCTGCGTTCCAGGGGAAGCTTCCAGGCTCCCTCCCTTGGTATGAGGAGAGATAAACCCTCACTGATGTTTTTTTTGGGGGGGCAGCGATGATAAAAGGCAAGGAAGAAAGGAGCAGTGTGTCTTTCTTGGGCACTGTCAGGAATTTTCCATTGTGAGCCCAGGGAATACATTTTCCTGGAATCCTTCCGTTGCCTGACATTTCGGGGGTACCTTCATCACAGGGCTGATAAAGAATGGGGGGGGTGAGTGGCCTGGGGGCCCCCTCTGGGCTCACCTCGGGGGGGCTCATCCCGCCCAGGTAGTTCCCGGCGATCCCGTCCCGGCGGAAATAAGTGCCTGAGGTGTCCACGAGGAAAGGGCAGGAGAGCCCAGGGCCATCCGGGCAGTGCCAGGTGAACACGTACCTGAGGAACCCCCCAAAAAATAGGGTGAGGGGTGCTGCCCCCACCCCCCATCTTAGGGGCTGGGATGTGGAGACCCCCCCCCAAAAAATAACATCAAGGGGTCACAGCACTCCTGGAGACAAGGGAGGGGCTGGAACTGGAGGCACTGGGGGGATAATGGGAGCCCCAGGGTGCAACACCCCCTTTCCAAAAAAAAAAGACTAAGGGAGTTCACTCTCCCTCCTTGAGGATGGAAGATGGTGGGATGCAAGCCCCCCACCCCAAAAATAAAGCATCAAAGGGGTCCATCCCTCCACCCCCTTGAAGATGGAGGGGTGGTGGGTGTCAGGATGACTACCCCAAAATAAACCCGAGGAGTCCCTCCCATGACAGAGGGGTGGTGGGTGCTGAGGTACCCCTCAAAACAGCACCAAGGGGTTTACTCCCCCTGGAAAAAGGAGAAGGGCTGGGATGTGCCCCTACTCTGACCCACAACAGAGGGTGCACTGCCAGGCTGTGCCCCCCCTCCATGAGCCCCCCAAATACCTCTTCCTGGGCTGGATGGGCAGGGGGGGCTGGCACAGCTCCCTGGGCAGCCCCTCAGCCTCCAGCAGCTTCCCGGCCCAGGCGCCCGCAGCGTTGACCACAATGGAGCAGGCGACAGGCTGGTACTCCAGGCTGTCTGGCATGTAGATCTGTGAGCAGTGGGAACAGACTCAGTGTTCTGTCCCAGGAGCACGGGCAGGGCCAAGGGCAGAACTACTTTTGCAGTAGTTTGGCCTCAAGGCCTTTGTCCAGGTGGCCAAGGTCCACTTTGTGGGTCTCCTGTGGCAGAAATCCCCAGTGATAACTGAAATACTTGTGGAGAGTCATGGATCACCGGCCCTCCGGCCATCTGATCCAGCACAGGCCTGCTTTGCACAGACTTGCTGCCACTGATGGATTCTGTGAGCTCTCTTCTCATTTCATAAAACCTACGTGTGCCACACACAACCAGGTAACATTTCAGCTGCCTCAATATTTCTCAGAAAAGGCTGGGAGACATCCCAGCAGTGACTCCCACCCTTAATAACCCCTCCAAACAACACACATGATCTTCCTTCTTCCTGGGCAGCTGCCACGACTTGGGCAGCCCAGATGATGCCCCCAAGTGCAGTCTGTGCACAGAGCCAAGATCCACACCTGGCTTCACCCAAGGCCCCTCTGAAGGGCTTTACCCTTTACCCAAGGCCCCCCGAGTTTTGGGGAGGTCACAAAGACACAAAGACACACAGACACACACAGACGCAGACACACAGACAGACACACACAAACACAGACACACAGACACTCACATGAACGTATTTGATGCGCGCAGACTCCGCTGATAGCGGGATCGCGTTGTTGGCTGAGGTGACAAAAGCTGGAGGATTTTGGGTTAAGGTGGAGGGTCCTGGGGGTGGTGGTCCCCAGTGGATGTCCCAGTGGACCCCACTGTGCCCACCCCCTCCATTCCTCACCTCGCACCTCCCCGCAGCAGTTGTGGACCCCCAGGGACGTGGCTTTGCGCCGGAAAGCGTTGAGGAGGGTCCAGGGATCGAACCAGCCTTCATCCTCCAGGCCTGGGGGGGACAAAGGTGGAGGGGGGGAGGCACTGTGGGGTGACCCCCCCCTAAAAAATGTGGTTTGGAAGGGGCTGGACCTCCCATAAATAAAGCCAGGAATGCAGGAAGCACCCAGCAGGGTGGGGATATAGGGTGGTGATGGGGGTAAGGACGGGTGTTAAGGGGAGGTCCCCACACCAGCCCCCACATACCATAGGATGCCACTGCCACATCCTCCGTGTTTATCCAGGGGAATTTCTCCTTCAGCTGGGTGGGGGACAGCAGGGCTACCTGTGCCCCTTCCTCCCTGGAGACAGCCAGCAGGTGGAGGGGGGGTTCAGGATGACCCCCACCCTCCCCAGAATCCCCCTGGTGTGGGGGCCTGTGTGTGTCCCCCACCTCTGGAGCTGCACAGTGGCCTCCAGCTCAGCAGCGTCCTCCAGGGAGGCCAGGAACAGGTACCCCGAGGGCTGGAACTGGATGTCAATGGGGGGCTCATTGGGGACCCCGAGGTACTCCTTGAGGAGAGGAGGAGACCCCGGTGAGCAGGGCTGGACCCCCCAAACCCCTCCCCCCCGCCCCCACAAGCAGCCCCACGCACATTGATGTCGCGCAGGAAGCTGGCAGAGAACCGGGACATCTGGATGTTCTCCGGCAGGGAAAACTGCTGCCGGATCCCCCCCGCCGACAGCACCGTGGAGGCTCTGGAATACTGACACGGAGGACACCCCTCAAAATCAGGAGGGGCTCAGGGGGGTCCCGCCCTGCCCCGGGAGGGGGTGGCTCACCGTGGGGTCCCGCTCCACCACCAGCACCCTCATCCCGTGCCGCCGGAACCGGCCCTCCAGCACCTTCAGCCAGTAGGCCACGGACCAGCCCACCACGCCGCCCCCCACCACCACCACGTCGGCCTCGTCGGGGGGCCGGGGGTCGGGGTGGATCCCCGGGGGCAGCCAGCTCCCCCAGGCGCTGCCCGCGGCCGGCACCTGATCCCTCAGGGTCTGCCCCAGGCGCCCCAGGGTCTGCCCCAGCTCTGCCGAGACACGGGGGGGCTGCCAGGCCTGGGGGGCACAGCTGGCAGCCCCCCCGGGCACCCCAGGACCCTCTGCATCCCCTGGGACCACCCCAGTACCATCTGGGACCACTCCAGTACCCTCTGCATCCCACAGGACCACTTCAGTTCCCTTTCACAGTCCCCCGTATCCTCTCCACACCCTGAGACCACCCCAGTTCCCTCTGGGACCACCCCAGTTCCCTCTGTATCCCCTGGACCCCCCCATTCCTTGCATTCCTTTGACCCATTCCCAGCAATCCCACACCCCGACCCTCCCTTCATTCCCCCCGGGATCCCTCCATAACCACTCCAATGAGCTCCACATTCCCAATGACCCTCCATTCCCAGCACCCCCCCTATTCCCTGTGACCCTCCATCCGTTTCACCCCCTCCCCGTTCCCAGCGATCCCAACACACCCTGACCCCCCCCTCCATTCCCCCAGGACCCCTCCATACACCCCCATAACCCCTCCATCGCCCCCAGCGACCCCTCCATTCCCAATGACCTCCTACCCCGGGGCACCCCATTCCCTGGAACTCCGCAATCCTTCCACCCCTCCCCATCCCCAGCGACCCCCACGCCACTACCCCGTACCCCCAAAA